CCGTGTGACCCTGGGTTTATGGGGCATACAGCGAGGGATACAGCGAGGGATACAGCGAGGGATACAGCGAGGGATACAGCGAGGACAGTACGAAGAGTATGATTTTTATAGGGGGGCCCTTTGGTGGACATCACTCACGCGAGTTTGCCCACCCATTTTCGAAGGAGTCCTCCCCAAAGCTCAAAGCCACATGGGTTCTTACAAATGGGCTATAGAATTCTCGCACAACTGTCATTGTGGTGCAAGCTGAACCCGTTTGTTTGTGCCCATTCAGGGTCCCCTGCGGGGATGTGAACCAATTGACCTGTGTGCCCTCTTGAAATTGACAAGTCTCTAGGAGCCAATTGTTTTGACATCCCGTTTGACATGCACCCTGGAAGCTCTTGAGGAAAAGTGAAAAGCAAAGCAAAAGGAGCAGATACCAATATTCTACCCTGGTGCTTTGGTCATCTTGGAACGGCACGGAGCCGTGCAGGTCCATGGCAACTTTGGGGCCGGTCACCCTGTTTCCCTTGCAGGAAGCACCTGTCCGTGGTGTGGGACCTATCAGAAGGTCGTTGTGCTCGCTTGCCACGGAGCCATACATGAACTCCGATGCGACCTGACACCCCACAGCCTCGGAAGCGTCTTCTCTGCCTCGGCTGCTTGAGGGAAAAAGGCAGCTCGGCTTGCTGTTGGAAAAGTCTGGGTGAGATATGATCGCAACTCACCGAGTTGAAATAGTAGACTCTCACAAAGACACCTGCGTCCTTATCTTTCCACCCCGCCACCCAAGGGTAAACTACGCAAACAAACATCCGCTCACGTGTCACAATGGCATGTCTCATGCTGCCAGTGCTTTATGTGTCTTCCCGCATCGATCACCGAAAACCAAGGCCCGAATTACAGATCCTGCCTGAGCAAATCCAGTTGCAGAGAGTCTAAGAGAGGGAACCTGCAAGTGGTGAGAGAGATGGGATCAAGGGACCAGATCCCTTGCAGCAATCTGGCAAGGAACAAAAGAATCGGTACGGACTGACAAGAAACTAGCTTGGATAGCGAACTAGCAAGCAAGCTCCACAAATCTGACAGTCACTCCACAAAAACATGAACAAAAAACAAGTCCAATCGGAGATTCCTTGAAGCAAGGCTTCATTGGCAGTTTGTGCAAATGGAGTGTCTCAAAAGGGACCCGTCCAGGTCAGGTTCCCCTTGGCTTCCCTTCGAGTCCCCAAAGTTCTGGGCATTCGGTCTCTTCGAGAGCCCTGCATTGTCGAAGCGCACCTGCAGATCCGACCTTGAAACCGAGCGAGGGGCAGGAGGCTGGACGAGTAGCACTCTCCTGGTTTTCTATTCTCTTGTCCATGCCTTGGAGGTCGTCGGCATACAAAGGCAGCAAGACACCGCGCCAGATTTTGGTCACAAACTCAGTGAATTCTGGGACAGGGTAGTTTTCTGGAGCAAGGGAGTGTTGTAATGTTGACACTCGATTAGTAAAGGGTACCGGAATAATAGAAAGTGTTTTTCCTTATGGTTCACACCCATTGTTTAAGGGGACCAGAATAATAGAAAGTTTTTTTGGCCAGGGGGAAAATTCAAAAAAAAAATCCACAAAGCAAATTTATATGTTTTTTTGAATAAAAAAAACCATCCCCACCCAAACAATCACCCAAAATCCATGTTGACCCCAAAATCCAGCTAGCTGAAACTCTGAAATTTGAAAACCATCCCCAGCCCTGAAACTGCAAACTCTTTATTAAACCGTGCTAAAAAATTGCCAAAAAACAATCAGGACAAGGGTACCCCTCACAGACCCCACAGAACCACAATAATGTGATTGTTTTAGGGTACCACAATAATGGCAAGCCCCCAGCCCCCCCTCCCAGAAAATAAACTATCACTTGCTTTGCTCAAAAGCATTCCCCTTTCAATTGGTGGCCCACTTGCTTAAAAGCATCCCCTTTCAATTGGTGGCCCACTTGCTTAAAAGCATTCCCCTTTCAATTGGTTGCTCAACCACAGAACCCAAAGCCAAACCCCCAGTTGACAAGAAGTGGTTGCAATACTAAAGTAGAATTGCAAAAAGGAAGTGGCTGCAATACTAAAGTAGAATTGCAAAAAAGAAGTGGCTGCAATACTAAAGGAAGTGGCTGCAATACTAAAGTAGAATTGCAAAAAGGAAGTGGCTGCAATACTAAAGTAGAATTGCAAAAAGGAAGTGGCTGCAATACTAAAGTAGAATTGCAAAAAGGAAGTGGCTGCAATACTAAAGTAGAACTGCAAAAAGGAAGTGGCTGCAATACTAAAGTAGAATTGGGCCCCAAAACCCTCCATTGTTTGGACGTCCCAAAAGTGCACCCCCATTATTTTGGCGCCTCCATTGTTCAGGGGGGGGGGGCCCTTTATTAATCAAGTGCCAACATTACTAGATGCCGCAAACTTTGCTTCTCAAGAGCCACCGACCAGGGCCTGGTGTCCACAAACAGGCCCGAAGCCTGCTGTATGCCGAAGGGAAATCGCCATGACACAACTCGTGATGTGCACTTTCCCCTTTGCTCCGCCTCAATTGTGGGTCCCCCGCCTCAGCTCTTCCCCTGACGTGAACGTGAGAAACGGCCTCAAGTTGGCAAAGAAAACAACTGGGTTTGCCTTGCGACAGATTTCTTCTCGGGGGTTCTACACTTGGTCGCTGCATTGTCCCGTGTCAAGCAGCCTGTGCAAAAGTTCCATTCGGTTCCTCGCGTTTGGGAAAAATAGGCGAGTTCCAAGGTGCCGCCTGCAGGAGATCAGGTTCCAAACAATCAGGTAGCGATTCACACGACAGCTGCGTTCACAACTACACCCTGGTATCACCTCCTCAAGACCAACCTTAAAGCATCGAAAGAGCGGAGAGCTGCATCAATTTCTGGGACTGTCTCCGAAACCTCATCTGCCCTGGATGTGGGTTGTTGTGTTTTTTGGGGGGTATATGCCCTTTTGAGGTTGTTTTGAGCTTTCCTATTCTTGATACAAACCCATGTGGGTGTGGCTTAAAGTATCGTGGTGTTTCGCCAACTGACAGCTGCCTGGCCGGAGCTGCAAGTGGAAGGCGGGACCTAACCTCAGCGCGGATGGAAACTCCGAGGCTTGACATGATCCATGTTCAAATCATCTTTGAAATGATCTTTGAAATGACCCCAAAACACGGTTCTGTTCAACCAAATGGGGGTGGGTCAAAAATAGGTCGCAAAAATGGCTTGTCCCCCGGTGGTTTTAGTTTTGACCCATACCCGTAATCCTTGGTGGGACACCACAAGGGAAACCCATCATCTGGTATGAAGATCAAGGATTGATTTGAATAAGCTTGGAAACATCCTCTTGAACTCACCATTCTATCGCTTGGGATGCACAACGTCGACACCGCCAGGCGCAGATGGTATCGGCCAAAGTCTGGGCAACCTTTTTGGGGACGCCCCCCAAAGAAACACAACAAGGAAGCAGGATTCCCAATGCCAATCAAACAGTCCAGGTACCGAAAAGGGCTCATGCCCTTGATTTCTTGGGAGGGTTCTATGCTCCCTCAAAGCTCGGCTCGCAGCTCTGACAGCTCGGCTTCGTCGGGGTCCGACATCGCCTGGACTTTTGGGCAGTGCGGCCCGGTGTTTGTTTTGAGTTGGTATCCCTCTTGTGAAATCGAAAGGACGACAACCGCAATTTTGGACCATTTTGGGGTCCCTAAAGCAAGACACACCCAGTCTGGTTTGTTCCCAGGCGCTCTGCCTGCCTCAGTTCCTTTGGCCCTTCCTCCTTTGCGGCAGGCGGATGCAATTGGACATACCGGCGAGTTCACCCAACTCCCGGCGAAGTGAACACACCAGCTTCCATGCATAGTTCAATTGTTTCATCCAAGCTGTACAAGTTCAAACCAAAGCTCATTGAACCAGCAGAATGGCAGGTGTCAAAATCGCGGGACCCAGAACAAATAGCTAAGTTGTCCTGCTTGGTTCCCTTTAAGCCGAGCTCAAAAGGGTATACACCGAGCCTCCACACTCATCTGGCCCTGTCAAAGCCTGTGCCTTGTCCAGCCTCCTCGCCAAAAGCATAACAAAAAGCAAAAGACTGAGCAACCTGCGAACCAAAACTCAAACCCAACCAGAATCTGAACTGTCAAACTGGACCACGGTCTCTGCCTCCAATTCCACCAGCTCCAGGGAGACTGTAGCAGCACCTTGGCAGGGCGGTCGATGCAACCGATCGCGTGGTGTAGGCTCCAAATTGGGGCCATTCCCTCCGATTCGGTTGCTTTTCCTCTGATGTTTTGCCCCCCCCGTCATAGGCATTCAGGAAGGAGAGGTATCTGATACAAAAGCTGCTTCAGAGTTTGCTCTTCGGGATTGATAACAAGACAATCCGCACAACATGCTGGCAATTACGTTACTTTGCCAAGCGAGGAGCACCCGAGTTTTCCATCATAATCATAGGGCCTCTATACACAAAGCCTTTGGTGTAGCACTGTCCACATTGTGCTGAAAACCCGGTTCACTCAGGCACCCTCTTTTGCCGACTTGCCACTCGATCCGTGGCCACACCCCTTTCGGGTGTTGCTTGAAGGGAAGGAAATCTTTGGTGGGCTCCCCCATTTTAGGGCACTATCTAAACGCCAAAAGAGCTCCACGTGTCAGCTGCTGAGGTCAACGGGGAAAAACGAAACCTCGAACAGCCAACATTGACTCATCGCGATGTCGCACAGTCCCGAGTCGCCGTGGCCGCCGGGATACACAAATGCCATGGTGTTGGCTTATGCTACAGGAAGCTCTTCCAGGGTAGTGGATACACATCGGAGAGCCCCACATTTGTGGAACAAGGGGCGGCTAAAACCGCGACTAGCAAACGAAGACTTTGTTTTGAGACTTACACGTGTGTGCACATGCCCTGTACATTGTTGCATGGCGGAAAGCTAGCCATCTGGCTCAAATCCACGACCGCCACCAGCGGGTGCAGGTCAAACAGGTCAATGCGACTGAGAAGGCCACGAGCTCCACTCATTGGCCCAACCTTGGTGGCCATTGCCCTGCGCGACAGGTTTTTACTTGTTTGCGGAAAAGCCGGGAAAAGCACACACACACACATGGGTATGGGTCAAAATTAAGCCACTGGGGGACCGCAGGTTTTAGTCCATGTTTCCATCTGCCAGGGTTCCATTTGGGTGCCTCTTTTTGACCCACAGCCACATGTTGCCAGCCAGTGGGTTTTTGCCGTTTCATCCCAAGATGGCCGAGCGACAGGGGCTGCGGCCAGGCCCAAGCCTTGAGGTAGCGCCACAGCGCCGGCTCCTCGACCGCTTTGGGCGGCTCGTCGCTGCGGGACAGCTGCTCCAGCCGCTCGGCGGTGGCCCGGAGCAACGGGCCGTCGCCATCCAGGCCGCCGCTGTCCTGAAGCGAAGGAGATGTGAGAGGCAAAGGCAACTTTGACCAAACAACCATCTGATCAAACTCAAAACAAACTTCGAAACCCAGGAAAAACACTTTGACCACCAAGATGATCTAAGCAACTCAAAAAAAAAACATCGAAAGCTCAATCCAATGAATCCAATCCAGTCTTCTGAACTCCCACCAGGCCAGTCAGATTTAGACCCCTCCTCCAGCCAGCCGATGGTAGACTGCAGAAGCTGTGCACAGGCTTTCAGGCGTTCTGCGCGCTCCCCCAAGCGCCGCTCCAAGTCCCCCCGTGTTTTCGCGTCCACCACGTGGGGCAAAACCACCAGAGCGGCTGCGCGCTGCCTCAACCAGCAACCCAAGAGAGAGGCCCAAGCCAATTGGGTGATTCAAGAGAAGAAATAGCTTCGGTTTCCCCCGGGCACCCATCAAAAAGGGGTTCCCGAATTTGAGACCCACCCAACGAATTCGGTTTGAGGGTTGCGCCAATGCAAAGCGCCACGGATACAAGATCAAGCCAGCCAAACCAAAGGGCACAGGTAGTTTGCGTAAAGAAATCAAGGTAGCTAGGCAACACACCAGGACGCTGGGTTGCCATGTGTGAGTTGACAACTGATGCTGCTGTGGCTCCTTGTGCATGTCCCATAGAATCCCAAAGTCAAGTTAAAGAGGGATAGTGTGTAAGCTCTACGCCTCCTCATTCACTGCAATATGTTGATTTCAAACAAGGCTTGCAAACTCCGCAAACCAAACAAAAAGCGCAGCAACAATTGCCTCCATCTCAAAACAAGAAGTCAAACATTTGTCAAACAAAGCTACTCTGTTCAATTAATTAACACTGTCGCCCTGCAATGGTCGTGGGCGAATGCCCACCTTTGGACTCTAGCCCAAACTTTCCTGGCAACGATCCAAGCATTTGGGTCTCAAAAGTCGGCAAAGCTCAAGGTGCATTCGCGAGGGAAAGGTTTCTGGATCTTCTCAACCTATAAGTGGGATCCCCTTATCACAATAAGTGGCAGCATCTCCCAATACCATGTTTTTTTCACAACCACGCGTGCGCATGGTAGAAGCCCGTTCCAAAACCTCAAAAGATGGACCTCCCATCATCCACACCGGCGTGGCCCCAACCATGGTCCCCAACCCCTCCCCCCAACAACGAAAGAATCCTCCCACCTCCAAACTGGGGAGTTGTCAAACAAATGCTCCTGTCCAATATTCTTTGAGACCTCAACACACACAGACACAGACACAGACACAGACACAGACACAAACACATACACACACATACACACACATACACACATACACACATACACACATACACACACAGACACATACACACATACACACATACATACACATACACACACATACACACACATACACACATACACACATACACACATACACACATACACGCATACACGCATACAAACATACACACAAACATACATACACATACATACACAAATACACAAATACACACATACACACATACACACATACACACATACACACATACACACATACACACATACATACACACACACACACACACACACACACACACACACACACACACACACACACACACACACACACACACACACACACACACACACACACACATTAGTTCCCTAGTTGACTGCATCCATGGGCGCCAGTTTTGCATGCGACTCAAAACTAGCCCAAAATCCCACCCTGGCAATGGAAAAGTCGGCTGAAAGCTGCGGTTCCTGGCTCAAAAGAAGAATGAGCCACACCCAAAGTAGACTTCAAGTTGTCCCCCAACCCCCAAACCTCCACACCCAAAATGGGTTGGGAACCATGATGATGGGTGGTCCAACTTTTGAGGTATCGGAATGGGTTTCTACCATGCGCAGGTGCGCAGGTGAGTCACAATCAAAACCCGGTACTAAAATGGTCGACCCAAAACCATGCAAAGAACTAAGAAGGCGGCCGCAGCTATTCATGGTTGGAATCGTCCCTTACTAACATGCATCTACCCAGGTTTTGATTGTCGTCAGGTGGTTGTGAAAAACATCAAAACGGCCACTCCACCAATTTTTGAGGTATTGGAACGGGTTGAAAACATCCAAATGGCCCAACCCCCAACCTCCACCCCCCAAAACGGCCCAACGGCCCAACCCTCCGCGTCCGGAGGGCAGCTCAAGCTCCTCCCCCAGCTTCGGCGCCGCCGCGCGCACCGCGCGCCGCACCGCGGCGCTAGAGCCCGGGGCTTCGGCGAGGCGCGCCAGCAGCGACAGCAGCCCCAGGGCCATCTCGAAGGAGCCCTAGGGAAAGAAGGATGTCCAAGCTAGATGGATAACATGGATATACATGGATGTAGTCATATCATTCATATGTCATATGGGTATGTAGACATACAAATAAACACATCAATAAATCCAATGAACAAAGAAAATCACTTAGATTTACTAATCAATAAATTAGTCAATCGATCTATATATATATACATGTCATGGTGTATACATATATATATATATACATGTCACAAACCATGGAAACTTCAGCAACCTTGGCTTTCCAAAAGATGTGGGTGGTTGGGTGGTTGGGTGGGTGGTTGGTTGGTTGGTCGGTCGGTCGGTCGGTCGGTCGGTCGGTTGGTTGGTTGGTTGGTTTGTTGGTTTGTTGGTTTGTTGGTTTGTTGGCTTGCTGGTTTGCTGGTTGGTTGGTTGGTTGGTTGGTTGGCTGGCTGG